AGTCCCCAGGGTGTTCTGGAAGCAGCAAGTGGTTTTTCTGTGCTCAAGCGTGATGCAAGAGGCAGTAGACCATGGATGAAGTGACACGATCCAAATTATGGCTTAGGAAGTTCATTATGGTGCCAGCCAAAGACGGCTTTTCTGGAGGGTAACAAGTGCTAGGACCGTAGGGCGGTGGGTCGTTGTGCATTCAGCAGAGTGACTCCCTGTCCATGGCAGAGAGCAAACAAAGAAGGATGGCTGGGGTGAGAACGCTGGGAGAGTGGCAGGCATCGTGAGGCTTAGCATTAACTGAATATCAGGCTTGACAGAAGGAAGAAGAGGAAGAGGAGGAGGAAGCAAGAACTGGAAATACTTTGAAGCTTTGGGCCTTGGGCCTTGGCGGCAATGTCATTTCCCCAAACGGGGACAGATTTGAAAGGAACTGAGGAAGAAACTAAGCTACATTTTGACATCTTAAATTATAGATGGAGTGCGCACACACACGGCATCTAGCCGAAAGCAGACACTGAAGCTGAATTGAAGGCATTTGGGAGCTTTCCATGTAGATGGCTGGCGGGAACTGACACTACAGGAACGGATGAGACCCGTGGGAGAGGATTTGCCACTGGAGCAGAACAACCGTCTGATGGCTGTGCATACCTGGTGAGGATTTCCACATCTCCTACCCTGTGGGAGTCACACATTCATCAAGTTCAAAACGGAACTAATCATTTCCCCATCGGCCCAGTTCTCTTTTTGACTTCTCTTGTTACTCAGTCTCTGTGTCACTCTGGCTCCAAATTCGTTACCTTTGTCATCTCCCCCAACTCTTGTGTGTGTGTGTGTGTGTGTGTGTGTGTGTGTGTGTACGCGTGCACGCAGAAGCAAGCTCCGAGGTATTTGTGAGTTGCACTGAGAGTGCAGGAGCAGCCCACTACACTTGTTTTTTTTTTTTTTTTTTTAATGTGAGGATTGAGGATCTGAACACATACTTGTGCAGCAAGCACTTCAACCACTCAGCCATTTCTCTAGCTCCCATCCTTCTAATTCTTTACACAAGCAGTTTATCAACAGGCAGTTCTGAAAAATCCATAAAACAACAAAGTGGAGCTGGGCGGTGGTGGTGCATGCCTGTAATCCTAGCACTTGGGAGGCAGGAGCAAGTGGCTCTCAGTGAGTTCGAGGCCAGCCTGGTTTATAAAGCAAATTCCAGGACTGTAAGGACGTACACAGAGAAACCGTGTCTCGAAAAATTAACCAGCCAACCAACCAAACAAACAAACAAAAACAAAACAACCCCAACAGATCGGAGATACAGGTATTTATACAAAACTATTTTTATTTATTTATTTTTTGAGACAGGGTCTCACCATGTAGCCCTGGCTAGTCTACATAGGAACTCTCTATGTAGACCAGACTTGCCTCAAACTTCCAGAGATCTGCCTGCCTCTGCCTATTGAATATTGAGATTAAAAGCATGTACTATGATATCCAGCATTTGGAAAGTTACATAGAGTAACAATCTGGTCCTATTCCTATGTAAGCATAGTCCTGACTTCTTTTATGTATGAAGAGTTAAATTCTACCCTTTAAAGGGTCATTTTTATTGAAATGTAATATATAGAAATGTAGACAATTATAAATCAGTAACTTTTTTTTTTCTTGAGACTGAGTCTTTTTATGTAGTCCTGGCAATCCCGGAACTCTCTATGTAGATTGTACTGGCCTTGAACTCACAGAAATCTGCTTTCTCTGCTTTTCCAGTGCTGGAATTAAAGTCATGTGTCACCATGCCTGGCTTAAATCAGTAACTTTTCATGTCATCAAATAATCTCCTAAAACATCAATTTTTATTTATATTGCTGGGATGGAACTCAGGGCATTGTGCATGCTAAGCACATGCTTTACTATTGAGGACAACCCAGTGCCATGACTTCAGTTCTGAGAGGCTGCAAGGAATTCTGTTTCATAGATGCTCCAGGATTCCTTTAGCTAACCCCTATAATATACTTCTATTTCTAGCCAGCAGCATTGTCCTTCTTATGCAGCAAATGCTACAGATATGAACAGACATATTTAGCATTTTTAAAAGTCCGTTTTAATTTTTCCTTAGAATAATTTTGTAGCCAAAATTTATAAATATATTTTAAAAACCTTTTAATTTCAGGATAGCCGGGTGGTGGTGGCGCACACCTTTAATCCCAGCACTCAGGAGGCAGAGGCAGGCGGATCTCTGGGAGTTCGAGGCCAGCCTGGTCTACAAGAGCTAGTTCCGGGACGCGCACCAAAGCTACAGAGAAACCCTGTCTCGAAAAACAAAAAAACAAAAAAAATTTTCAGGATAATTTTAGGTTTATGGAAAAATTATGGAGAGTCTACAATTTTTATATAGACCACACACACCCAGTTTTCCTTTGTTTATATCTTAGATAGTACCTTTATCATTATATATATGTATATATACATATATACATATATATATATATATATTTTTTTTTTTACACAGGTGTGTTGCTCTGCTGGTTGGAACTTGCTATGTAGTTCAGATTGGCTCCAAACTGGCAATTCTTTCTTGACCTTTCAAATGCTGGGATCATAGGCATCTTCCACCATCCCCAGAGTTCTAGTTAGGGGGTTCCATTGTTGTGATGGAACACCATGACCAAAAGCAGCGTGGGGAGGAAAGGATTTATTTGACTTACTCTTTTATAGCACTGCTCACTACTGAAGGAAGTCAGGACAGAAACTCAATAGGAATCGAGTCCAGGAGTCAGCAGCTGATGCAGAGGCTGTGGAGGGTGCTGCTTACTACCTTGCTCCTAATGGCTCACTCAGCCTGCTTTCTTACAGAACCCAAGACCACCAGACCAGGGATGATACCACCCACAATGGGCTGGGCCCTCCCTCATCAATCACTGGTTAAGAAAGTGCCCTACAGGCCTGCCTACAGCCTGTTCTGAGGGAGGTACTTTATCAGCTGAGGCTTTCCCCTCTCAGATGACTTTGTTAGGAATATTCCTAATGCGCGCTCTCTGCCAGTGCAAAACTCCCAATCAAGCCAAATCACAAGAAACCAAATTAAAGAACATCCAGGTTTAATGGGATTCCTGTGCTCTTGGATGGCCTCAAGGGGAACCTGTAAGCCGCAAACGCGACCACTGCGGGAGTGGTCAAGATTTTGGCGGCTGCCTTGACCCTCCTCAGGGCAGGGGTCAAGTTTTTGATGGGCTGCTTTGACCCTCCTCAGGGGAGGGGGTGAAGTTTTGGCAGGTTCAGGGACAGGGCCTTGAAAGATGGACTTACAGATTTAGCTGTGTCAAATTGACATAAAACTATCCAGAACACCCAGGAAATTAATTAACTTTTACTACATTACTATTATTAACTAAAGTCTATCGTTTTAGCCAGATTTACTCTTCATCTGATTCTCTTTTTTCTATTCCCGTATTCCTCCAACATAGCATTTAGTTGCTGTGTTTCACTTTAGGCTCCTCTAAGCTTTGACAGTTTCTTAGACAGTTTTCCTTATCTTTGATGTCTGTAACATCTAACATTTAAGGAATATTGGTAAGGCATTCTGTAGACTAGTTTTCAAACATAGTTGGTCTGATTGAAAGGCCTCTGGCCAGCCAGTCCCTGGCAAACATGGCTCTGGCAGGCCTTGCCCTTTTCTCCCATTCCTTCTGCCTTGCTACAAACCCTTAGATTACATTCCTAAAGCTAACCACCGAGGTCTATTCCCTTATTTGGCTGTCTCCTCCTGGGGCCGACTATCAAGGTCTAGCTATCAAAGTATTGAAGTCCAGATATCACAAGTCCCCTTTGGCTCACCTAATTAACATGCTCAATTAAACTTAAACACCTCATCCTAACACGGAGTTTCCCTTCTCACCTTTATAAACCAACATTTGACTATGGGCCACGTCTGTCTCCTCTCTATCCAGAGCAGTCCTTTGTCCCTCTGGGACAAATATCCGCCCCTTTCCCTTGTTCCCTTCCCCCTTTCCCCTGTCTTCTATCTCCTGTCTTTGTCTCTCTTTTTTTTGTTTTTGTTTTTTTCAAGACAGGGTTCTCTGTAGCTTTGGTGCCTGTCCTGGAACTAGCTCTTGTAAACCAGGCTGGCCTAGAACTCACAGAGATCCACCTGCCTCTGCCTCTCAAGTGCTAGGATTAAAGGTGTGCACCACCACCACCAGGCATCTCTGTCTCTTATTTGTCTTTCTGGGACAAAAAAATCTCGTTGGTGCTGAGAACTTGGTCTTTGGGGGTGCTGATACTTTTTTTTTTTTAACTGGTTTCCTCTCTCCCTCCCTCCCTCCTTCCCACTCTTTTCCCTTCCACCCTCTCTCTCTCTCCCCTTCCTTTCTTTCTAGAGATTAGACTGGGGTTATGGGTTTTTGGAAGGAAAGCACCATAACGTGTCATTCACATTAGACACCAAGCTCATGTGCTACCAACAGAACTGTTGATGTTAACTGTGATCCTAGCCAGGGTAATGTTTGCCAGGCTCCCAGCCGTAAAGCTGCTTCCTTTTGGGCTCCTTTCAGTACTGCGTTATTCAGAAGGAAGCTGCTGTGCACAGCTGGAGAGGAAACAGGGGTTCTGCGTCAAGAGAGCATATGTCTTTTACAGGAAATTTATCTTTACTTACTAATTTTTTCGTTCACTTAGGATGAGAGTATTAGTATTTCTTTTATGCTTTGAGTGATAATGCAGTATGGCTTGTTTTTTGCTCAAGCCACGTACACTTTTATACGTCTTGAGTAACAATGAGAAGGAAGGTGACCTACTTCTCCTTAATGTCAGCAACCTAAGAGAGATGTGTGGTCTCAGCCCTCCTTTCCCTCCTAACCCACTTCCTAGTTTCCCGGGGGCCCGCCCACCGCAGAACGGAAGTGGGCGTTCCGCAGGGCGGAAGTGCAGGGAGGGCGTGTGTCCTCTCAGAGCCCGCCCCTCCCTTACCGTTGCAGCCCCACCTCTCCGGCCCAGACCGGAAATGAGGTCAGAGAGGGAAACCCGGACTAGAAGCTTCAGCCCCGAAGGAGGCGCCGGGTGCGAGTGGCTGCGGCAGCCGGTGAGGGGAAGGATGTCCGTGAGGCAGGGCCGCGCCTGGCGGGCTCCGGGTTGCAGCGGGGTGGCCCAGGGCACTACGGGGCTGCGGCGAGTGACCGAGGGTGGCGGGGCCTTGCTGCCCTAGACGCGGCTCCTCATCCTGGGCGCTGAGGGTCGGGCGGCCTCCGCGGCGACAGTCCCCTCCGCTCTCGCTGGGTCTTTGGTGGGCGACAGCGAGAGCTCAGGCTTGGTATCCCGAGCAGGGGTCTCCCTGGCCCTTGGGGACGTACTGGGCATGGTGGAGAGCCCTCCGAAACACGGCTTTTCTCACCTCGGTACCGTGACACCCCCTCCCATCCATCCCTTCGCTGTGGGAGCCCAGTCACTAGGACCAGATTTGAGACAGTTTCTGCCCTAGACAGCTGACCCCCTGTCTCGGGTAAGTCCAAATGAGAAGTTGCCTCTTGTCTCCCCTCCTCCCGTCACTGATGGGAGACTAAGCTAGTCTTGGCTGCTTGTGGCCCACCAGCGTCCGGAGTGACTCAGACCAGGGTGTCTCGGGATAGGCTCCTGAAAGTAAGCCTGGAGGTGTGGGTGTGCCAGGGCTCGCTTTCTCTGTCCCCCGTGAGACGCAAGACTTCTGCGCCAGCATCTGAGGACACTTCGTTTAGTGCACTTGTTCCACGTTAAAGTTTGTGCAGTTCTGCCTGAGTTTCAAAGCCGTAGTTCTTTGTTAGAGGCTTAGATTTGCTGCTGTTCCTTCGTGTTTCTCTACTTTGGGTTTAGGGACACTTGCTTTCCAAATCCCATTCCTAGCGTTTTAAGCTATTACCGATTGCTGAACAGAAATGGTCTTTTTATGTGCAAGGCTTTTAACACTTGAGGAAGTGTGTTTGAATGATAGTTTTTTGGAGCTAGGTGGCGGCCCCATTGCTCTTGCAGACGTGACCCATAAACCGGGAAATTTTCCCTGCCTCTGAATTTGTTGACATAGGGACCCCGTGGGAACCGTTTTTAGAAAGTCCTTTGCAAAATGTAAATCGTATGAAGGGATATATGGTCTGAGCTCAGCTTTAAACTCTGATTATGGCCGAGATGTACTCTGGGCTTAACAAGAGCTGGGGAGAAAGAAAGCTGTTTTAGTATACAAAATTTAGGTGTTGTACAGATGGTATTAGATGTTCCTTTTGAAAGTGAAAGTTTGAAAATTGCCTCTACCACTCATGCCTTGAAAGTGTTGCTTCTGCTGGCCAGAAGTCTTAGAGAAGTCACCCTGCATGTTTTAGTTTCATTCCTGTCCTGCTTTAGTGTGATTGGCTCTAAGGTACATAATTGGGGTGACCAACATGAGTAGTCTTAAGTACTATGCTAAAATGATAATCATAATAAAAAAATCAGTGCCATATTCTATGGTGTTCTGTACCTGGTAACTTCCAGGTGGCGGTTGGTACCATGGTAGTACCAGATGTAGGCTTTCTTTTTTCCCTCTTTCTGAGTACCTACTTGGGTAACCACAGATTCTTTATGAACCCTGCAAAGCCTTCCTGATAGCCACCACTCAGATCTTTGTCTCCTCCTTCCCGCAAGCGTCTTTTGTGGGTATCCCAGACCACTGTCTGGCCTTCCATTGTGACTAGATTCTGTCCAGTGCTCCCTTAGCTCTCCCTACCATAGTGTTGAAGTCGTGTGATGAGCTGCCCCTCTCTGGTGAGACACTTTCTCATGTTCAGGCAATCAAGGCACACATTTAATTGGAGGAAAGAAGCAGCTTTGTTTGTTTTTGTTAATGTCCCAATTATCATCTGGTGAGCCATTGAATATGTCGGTTTCAGGTATGTAATGAAACGAGGGCCAGACGCCTTATGTGTGTGGCTTTCGGGCGCATGGATGTTGGAAACAGTGGTGATTGCAGTGGATAAAAGGAGTCTATTTCCCATAGCCTGGCAGGGAGCCACAGTGCCATTATGTGCTTTATAAAATTACTGGAAACACCAGGCTCTTCAAGCTTTTCTTCTTCTTCTTTCTGGCAGATGTGGCCTCATGGATGAGCTGGTACATGACTTAGCTTCAGCCTTGGAGCAGACATCTGAGCAGAGTAAGCTTGGTGAGCTGTGGGAGGAGATGGCCCTGAGCCCCAGGCAGCAGAGACGGCAGCTTCGGAAGCGCAGAGGCCGGAAACGCAGGTCTGACTTTTCTCACCTGGCAGAGCATGCCTGCTGCTTCAGTGAAGCCTCGGAGTCAAGTCTGGATGAAGCCACCAAGGACTGCCGAGAAGTGGCTCCGCTCACCAATTTTAGTGACTCTGATGATACAGTGGTGAGCAAACGGCACCCAGCTCTCAGTGCCATCATTAGAAGTAAGCCACACTCTTGGCATGAATCTGACTCCTTTACCGAAAATGCGCCTTGCCGACCACTCAGGCGCCGGCGGAAGGTGAAGAGAGTGACGTCAGAGGTGGCCGCCAGCCTTCAGCAGAAGCTGAAGGTGTCAGATTGGAGCTATGAGAGAGGCTGCAGGTTCAAATCTGCCAAGAAGCAGCGTTTGTCCCGCTGGAAGGAGAACACTCCCTGGACCTCATCAGGACATGGGCTGTGCGAGGCCACAGAAAACAGGACTTTCCTAAGCAGAACAGGAAGGAAAGAGAGGATGGAGTGTGAAGCGGAGGAAGCGAAGCAGGGCTCTGATGAGAACATGTCAGAATGGTGAGAGCGCCCCTCCTAAAGCAAAGGTCTCCCTGGTGAATTCTCTCTGGAGTGCAATCCCAGGCCTGCAATGAGTTCCACTCTCTTCTAAGCAGGCCATGCTAGTGTTGCCTTTGTAGGCTGGCTGCCTGGAGTCAGCTGCTTTGCAAAGTGCCATTTGCGAATCTGTTTCTCTGTGTCAAGAAGGCTGTGTGTAACAAACAGTTTAAGCCTAAAAATAATTTCAAACATGTATTTTAAACCAGGAATTTGTCTTAAAAAATAATTTGCTGTTTTTTATATCATTCCGTTCATACAAAGCTGCTGCTATTTAGAATCAAAGTATCAGCAAGAGCTGGTGTTGACAGCTATGACAGAGAAAGCACAGGGTGCCAGGTCTAGGCAGTTTGTAAACAGATGCAAGCTAGGTTTGCTCTTTAAGAATCGGCCCACACCGTTAATCCCAGCACTCAGGAGGCAAAGGCAGATTGATCTCTGTGAATTCCAGGCCTACAAAGTAAGTTTCAGGACTGTTAAGAGAATCCCTATCTCAAAAGAGATAGATAGAGAGAGAGAGAGAGAGAGAGAGAGAATGAGAATCATGACTTTCTATACTTTGGGGCTATAATTCTGTTTTCTGCTAGTTATAGTTTGACTGTATTGCATGCATTTCTTAGTTTGTGTGTGTGTGTTTGTGTACATGTATGCATGTGCCTGTGGAGGCCCAAAGTGAATGGTTATGTTTTCCTCTTACTTTTCACCTTGTTTGTGGAAATTGTCACTAAGCCAGAGCTCACCAAGTGGCTTGACTGGGTGGTCAGCAAGCCCTGGGAATCCACCTGTCTCAGCTCTCACAGTAAGATTATAGACATGCACTGCCGTTCAAGCTTTTATGTGGATGTTAGGGATCCACGTTCAAGTCCTCATGCTTACTCAGTGAGCACTTTACCCACTGAGCCATCTCATGGCTTCTTTAGTGCCTGCCCACCTGCCTGCCTCTGAGTGGGTGAGTGACTGAGTGAATTTGTGTATGTATCTGTGTGTAATCAAACTCAGGTCATCAGCGTTGGCAACAGGTGCTTTAACCTACTCACTGAGCTATCTTGATCAGTCCTTGAGTGTTTCCTGATGGCAGACATTTAAGTTGTGTGCATATATAGTGTGGTTTGAAAATAACACCGTGAGTCCTTTTAATCTTGTATCACATGATAAAGTACTCTGGTGGTTGCATGTTTAAAATGTCAGTGTAGTTTTGGTAACTCACTTCTCTCCATGTCAGATCACCCTGCAAACATGGATACTTGGCAGCCTGATACCTGAATATTATTACTAGAGTTAAAATGTTACCTCTCCGTGAGGATGCCTTTGGTGTCTGGGGCAGTTCTTTGTGACACACTGCAGGATGTTTAGCAGCTCTGCCATGTTGCTACCCTTCTTCCTGTGTCCACTCGGATGCTGTCAGGGATGGCCGTTAGGTGGGGTGAGCACTGCAAGTTTGTTAAATACTCTGTATGGTAGGCACTGTACTGCGTGTCTGCTGAATAGTTTTATTTATTCCTTACAATTATGGTAGAACCTCATTATTTGTATTTTTAGAAGAGAAAACTAGGTTTAGAGTTTGAGTAATTTGCCAGGGTCACCTAGTGCTCAGACAGAGTCAAACTGATTTCCAAGGTCATATTTCACCAGGTTTGGCTACCTGTTATGTTTTACAGTGTAGCACAAATAACCTTTCTTAAGACCGTGTTCTTCTGAAATTCCTACCCTCAAAGGCACAAAGCTTAGGTCCACCAAGGCAAGGCTGTGTTGGTAACAATACAAGCCATGGAGGTCTGTGTGCTTCCTCCTTTTCTGAATGCCTTTGAATTTAACTTTGAAACTTTTTCTTTTTTTTTTTTTTTTTTTTTGGTTTTTTCAAGTCAGGGTTTCTCTATGGTTTTGGAGCCTGTCCTGGAACTAGCTCTTGTAGACCAGGCTGGTCTCGAACTCACAGAGATCCGCCTGCCTCTGCCTCCCGAGTGCTGGGATTAAAGGCGTGCGCCACCACCGCCCGGCCTTCTTACTAACTCTATTTTGCCAGTGTGTTCAGCTGTTTTGAAGTAGGCTTACAATTTGACTCTTGTAATTTTCTTCTAAGTTTGATTCTGAGTCCTGTTTATCTAATTTATATGTAGTTTTTGGATTATAAAGGTATTCTTCCCTCATACTCATACTATTTTTAATCAAACAAGAATTGCTTAGCCAACATGTAGCCTTTATGATTCTGAAACATGTTTCTGCATTCAAGGTACTGTAAGATCAGGCATTGACATCTTAGACTCTTAGAACTGAGAATGCAGACTTAAGATGGCCCTTTAGATTGTTGTTTGTGTCTTTTTCTTCTCTGGAATTTCTTGTTAAACTTGAAGATACTGTGTGTGCTAGAGACTGTCAGCTGTCTTCTCTAAGCACAGCTCCAAGCACAGGGCCTGGGCCTGTGGTCCAGCAGTGATGCGTCTGTCTTCTAGCTTTCTATCCCAGGCTGTCAGGCTCTAGGTTCTAATCTGAGAACCAGGAGAAACTGAAGTCAACAAAAGTTCTCATGAAATTCTTCTTTTCACACTGATCTTCTTTTCACACTGAAGAGACCTGACTCTCCTCCGTGGGCTTTCCCCCCAGCCAGGACTTCAGACACTTGTAGAGATAGGGATGCCAAAGTTGTTATCACTGAAGAAATAGTGGGTGGAGTGGCAGTGTGACATTGATCCTGTGTGAACAGTGGCTGGAGGGGGGATTCTAAAAGGAGACCCTCTTGGAGGCTAGATAAAGGGCTCAGCAGTTAAGAGTACTTGTCACAAAGCCTTGAGATCAGTTCTTAGCACCCACACTGGGTTATGTACCTGTAATTCCAACTCTAAGGAGATCCAATACGCTTTTCTGGACACACACACTCACATACACACCTTAAAAGGCTCCCTTGTGCTCTCACTGCCCACTGTTAAGATTATTGAAACAATGGACCCAAAAGTTTAAACTTTTCCCAGGAGTCCCATGCTGAAGCAGGGAGAGGCTGAAATCCTAGTAGTGACCAGAAGAGGTGCTTGCTTTACAGGAAGATATCTCACAGTCTGGACAACTTACCTCACTGTTAAGTTAGCATGGTGACGCTGTTACAGGAGGGTATGGAAACCCTAGGAGATTTCTCTCCCTGATTCCTGCCAAACTAAATAATTCCACCTTCATTTATCCATTTATATTTCCAAATTTCTTTTAAAATACAGGGAAACTAGGTGGTGGGTTTATGGCAATAGTAATGGACACACACTGAGAAAAAGTCTTTGAAATGTGTAATTGAATTATAAGGCATGGTGGCGCATTCTTTAGTCCCAGTATTTAAGAAGTAGAGACAGGAAGACCAGGAGTTCAAGACCAGTCTCAGCTACTTCAATGAGTTTGAGAACAGCCTGGGCTATACGATACTCTGTTTTTAAAAATGAATAAAGAGAATCAAATTTTTAAAGGAATGTTAAATCACTTCTTGACTTGTCTCCATTTATCTGTTGTTACAAATAGAAATGCCCTTGTATTTTTCCCCTAAACACATTCTGTCGAGAGACGGGTGCTTCTTATTTTCTGGCATCAGAATATGTCCAAACTTTCCTCATCATTGAAGTAGAATAAAAATTTTCAATTTTCAAGCTGCTCTTCATTATTACTTATTTTTACTCATTATTACTATATTATTTAAGATAGGGTCTTTACCTCAGGATGACTTGCATCTTGCAATCTTCCTGCCTCAGCTTCCTAAATGTTAGAATTACAGGCTTGTGGCTTCTAATTTGTTTCACTTTAGTGTTGGGGGTTGAACTCAGAGCTTTGTACATGGTGGGCAGGTACTCTGAAACTGAGCCTCCCCCAAGGCCCATTTTATAAGCAGGGCTAACATTAGACTGCAAATAGAAAATAGTTATGATTTGTGTATTACTCCCTGTTGGCAAGTTGATTATGTCAAAATTATCCTACCTTCTGCTTTAAAAGAAGTCCTTTCAAGAATCCCTGTGGCTGCTATTTAATGAAGCTGCCTGGCTGTGCCATGTTTCAGTCACATAGAGATCAAAGTGTTGAACTTTACTTCCTGTCAGTCATGTTGAGGGTTCTCACCATCAGCCCTGTAAACTTACTAACCTTGATCCACCTTGTAAAATTACTGAGATAAGAAGTTGATTATTAACCTTAGCCTAGTCTGTGGGTAGTGTTTTAAGAAATGATGTATTAAGTGCTTTGGATTTGGTTACGTGTATGTTAATTGGCTTTATTTCTAGTTTACTTAAATTTGCTTATTGCTAGCAATTAAAAATTGCTAACAGTTTAAAGCCTTGCTGCTGTTTCTTTCTGCTTTTCTTTCTCTGTTCTGTTCTTCAGTTGTGTTTCAGCTAAGACTTGTGAGGGTTTAGAAATGGGTGTTACATAATAACTTTATTCATGCTTTGTAAAGATCAAGTTATTACTGTAATGTCTTCTGTGTATTTATGGAAGTAAACACTCTGAGATTTTACAAATCTTGTAAAATTAGTTCCTTCAAATATCATTACTTTGTTCAGATTTTCCGAGTATCACTTGTCCCTAAGTGATGAGCTTAGCTGGTGCTCTCTGCTCTCCAGCAGTGCAGTGTATGTATATGTAGCTCTTACATACAGTTTAGTTCTCTTATGAGCAGATTGGTCTCATCAAGAGCCTCCTCAGGTGATGGATTAGAGGCCAGTCTCACAGAAAGAAAATAGTCCCTTTTCTTGGAAGGCAAGTGACAGAGAGGGAGTGCTAGGCCTGTCCCCTCCTTCCCCAGCCCAAGCTGACCTTCTGCAGCCCCTTGGTGCCTCTTGTTTTCTTATTTTTATAGAAAATCAATATCCTTTCTGACACAAACAATAGCTCAGAAGCGAGAATAAATGGGAGGAAGTTGAGATCTCTGTCCATCACCTCTCCCTTGAACTGCCCCAAATTCTTTAATTATGAGTGTGCTTTGCACCAGGTGTTTGTGACAG